TTCGCGGGGCAGACCGCCGCGTTTTTTGCCAGATTCTTTCATCTATTTATCTATTTAACTATCCGTGCATCCATTTCCTACTGTGTCCGATTGGCACTGTGTTCGATGGCACTGTATCCGATTTTCAATATGTCCGATTGTCACTGTGTCTGATTGTTATTGTGTCCAATTGCAATCACCGTGTGTCCGTTTCCTACTGTGTCCGATTGACACTGTGTCCGATTGCAGCTATTGTGTGTCCATTTCCTACTGTGTCTGATTAGTACTGTGTCCGATTTTCAATGTATCTGATTGCCACTGTGTCCGATTGTCATTGTGTCCGATTTCAATCACCTTGTATCCGTTCCTTATTGTGTCCGTTTGAACCTGTCCGATCCATTCAACCTGCTGTGTCCGATTTATTCTGTGCGCAACTGGGACTTCCCCTTAATTTCTCTCGATGCCATTCTGCTGCTTCTTCCAGCTTACGTTTAACAGTGTCTTATTTTATATCTATGGGTCTTTCTTTTAATGTCATCAATTTTTTTTATCTGTGCTTCTTGTGCTTTTCTTTTTTCGTAAGCTTCCTGTTTTTCTTTTATCTCTATCGGCATCTTTTAAATGCTGTAACCATTGTTTTTCCAGTTCTATTTTATTCGTCGCTGTTCTACTTCCTGTGCCATGCTGAGGATGTTTACCTTTTTGTGTGTTGCTTATGTATATGGGACATATAGTTGTTTTTACTTGATATTACCTTTTTGGAAACTTGGTTATTTTTATTCAAGCCACCTTTTGATTTTGATAGATCTTCATAAATTTGTTTTTTAGCACTGTCAATACTTCCAGTGCTTAATGTACTCGGTGATAGAACTGATAAATCGCTTTGCGTCATGAATATTGAGTCAGACATATATCTAACAAGTGACAGCACAGTGATGATTTCGATTTTGGATTCTTCTTTGCAAAGATTGATGATATTGTATTTTGACCATGTATCGTCTTTCGATCATCAAGAATATTTTCCATATACTCAAAAAATTTAAATGTCATAGCACCAGTACCAGTTCTTTTATCAACGCAGACTTATTTTCGAGTTAGCATATTAAATTTCCATCTTACTTGTTCTCAAGAAAACTACAATTGCAAAATATAATCCAAATTAACAAAATTATCTATTCATCTTAAATATATTAATCTTATTCGAGTCACTCGGGTTATATTTCTCTAAATTGTACATGTAGTTCGATATCTATTTTATGTTTCATATCAGTGTACACACACACACACACACACACACACACACACACACACACACACACATACACATATA